TTCATGGCAATCAACTTCAACAATACGTGTATCTCTTGCAGGTTTTGCTTGTTGTCATCGCAATGCTTGATCAATATGACGACAGACAATGACACAAGGTCGAGTGTCGGCTTGCAGTCCGCCGCGAGGCTCTCCATGACATGCCTACGATTACATGCCCCTTCGGATCTTGAAGAGTTTCATGGCTAATGTCGTCCTCGTATTGATCCATGATCGTATTCGCAATGACGCGCGTGCGAAATACGTCATCACACATTTGATGCATCGAGTTGTATCTTGTTGACGAGTCTGCATACGTCGGCTCTGTGTTGCTCAAACCAAAGCGCGATGCCTCAATTTGATACTATTGCCGAATGACGTTGTTGCGACACATCTTATCCAAGCTGTCCCGCAGCTTCTTGATGGATTGGCGAATGAGCTTCAAGACCTTCAACATCGCGAGTTGGATAGAGTAGTCGGCGCACCGGACGTGATTGCACTTGCGCAGCTCCTTGTAGTCAACAAAAGCGTTCATGAGTTGAAAAAGTCGTTTAATTGTGCTTGTTATGTCTCACCCATTATTGTTGATGACGTTCAGTATGCGCATGACTACATCCCGATCCATCCACTTCAAATATTTGAACAGGGTTGTCCCGACGCGCATGCCAAAACCAGCTCCGCACTTGGCATCCACGATCGTTAGCAAACTGCTTTTGACCTTCAGCATGACGACATCCATCCAGTGAGCGATGACAACGTAGAACTTTTTCAAATTCCAGCCAGCCGTCCAGAGTCATCGAGATGGCGACGGTCAAATTGCATACAAATGCTGCAAACACGGGCTCGAGGACACAATGCAACTTGACAATGCGCCAGAAGATTGTGCGAGTCGACGGCAGCTCAAATCCATGCATTAATGCGACAACAAATTGTTTGAACTAATCGTTGACATCCACGCGCAGCGTGACGCCAGTTTGCACAAAATAATTCACAACAACGTTCTTAAATTCTTTGAGTACGGGCGCTGGAAAAACAGGCTTGCAAACGCTTTTCAACGTTGCTTGAGGACGTGCGCTTCTCGACGTTGCTTGAACCATACGCTTGCCGGACGGTGTGAACGACGCGGGATTGTTATTCGTGATGTTGTGCAAGTGCATCTTTCATCCCCATGCATTGGTCTTGTGAGAGATACACTTCCAGCACACTGTGCATTGCCGTTGATGTGTTGTTCAACGGGGTCGCTGGCCTCCCTGTCTCGGGTATACGTCCAACAATAGGATTCTCGCGTCCATTTGTACTTCGAGTTTACGACATGCTGCAAGACACGGCTGCACGGAGTAACTCGCCATGGCAAAGTCTGTCCTGTATCACGGAGTCGCTATGGCTCCCGGTGCTTATAATCTCAAAATTTCTCAACAAAGAAAGTCGAGAGTCAGACTCATAAGGCAACATCAGGACGATTTTTGGAGATTACAACTTGGAACTGAGTTGGAACTTTGAAGTTTGCTACGGACTCTGCAACCACGCCACGAACTCCGTGGAGGACTTTTGCAATGGTCAAAGTTGTATCCGATAATTACAGGATAACTGGGTATCCAATCAATTACCTTTACTCTATCCATTACCTTACCTATAGCCCAATCTTTACAATTACCCCTAACTTTTATCGTTTTACTCGGAAGCATCAAAATATTATCCTACCTTGACCAGATCTATTTGTAGTTGTCATCAATCTCGAACCAATAACTTGAAGAGAATAGGTAGTTTTAGATAATAAGGTGATTTTTTTCCTTTTCAAATTCATCAGAAAATAACATAAATACATTTTCAACTAGTTGTTTATTTCACATGTCCATCCAAAAATATCAAGTTGTTGGGTCATAAATTCTTCTACATTTATTTTGTCAAGAAAAATTTTGAAAAAAAATGTGTATGTGATCATATATTGCATATGAAATATGAACAAATTTTAAATATAAATTCTGGTCACAACAATTTGATCTTGAATTGGATGATCTTGATCTTCATTGTCACAAGTAATTTTGTTTCTCTAGTGAAACTCCATGCATGTGTTAAATTTAATTTTGTTTACATTTTACTTCTAAAAATAGCCTAACACATATTACTTCTTAGAGGAAAAACCTATGTTAAATTTCTTTCTAAAACTTTCAGTTATGTAATTATATGAATGATGGAGGTTATTCTATTCATGAAATAAGTTGAAAAGATGTCGTTAGTTACTCGCGTTTTTAAAAAATAATTATTTACTAGCTTAATCATGATGATCTGAAGGAGACTTCTTTGGCTTTACAGGGTCCAAAGGATACTTCTTTGGCTTTACGAAAGAAGCGCCTAAGGCCGGAAATGGTTTGATTGTTCATTATGTATGAGAGCTAACCAATGTTTTATTTGAAAATTTTAGAATTTTTTATCAATAAATTTTTTTTGAAGTTTTTGTGGACGTAGCCGGACATGTTGCATTGTTGTAGATATATATATGCTTGTGATGGCATTTTTTATGTATTGTGTATGAGTTTGTGTTTGTATTTTTTTGTAAAAAATACACATGTCATAATGTAGTAAAGTCTTGAAGTTCATCAATATCAAATGATTGTTGCAAAATTTTTAGAGCTACTTTCTTGTTACATCCATTGAAATACACCAAAAATGACAACACATAAGCTACTTATTAATTTATCACTCACATGAAATTTCAGATATTTTACAATTATATTTATAGATATTTGTTAAATTATATTATGAAATCACAACGTTGTTATGTGGTAACTATGAGTAGGCATAGACAAGGTAAGGTAAATGTTTAACGTGTAATAAAATGTACTCTACCTTTACTTTACCCCTACCCATATCACATTGATCATGTTTTACTTATACCTTTACTTAACCGTTAACCAGGATAATTATCCAATAAAAATAAAAAATACACTTTATCTTTACCTTACTCATTAACCGGATAATTACCCAATAAAAGTAAATACTTTATCTTTACTTGACCCCTTATTGGGATAAGGATACAATAAAATTAAAATATACATTTTACCTTTACTTTACCCGTTAATTGGATAATTAGAAGATAAAATATGTACACTTTACTTTTACTTTATCCATTAATTGTTTAATTATCTAATAAAAAAATACACTTTACCTTTCCTTTATCTGTTAATTGGGTAATTAACCAATAAAAATAAAAATAAATTACCTTTAATTTATCCATTAAACCGATAATTATCCAATAAAAAAAATACTCTTTGCTTTTACTTTATACATTAACCAGATAAATACTCAATAGGAATGAAAAATACACTTTACTTTTATCTTACACATTAACCGGATAATTACTCAATAGGAATGAAAAATACAATTTACTCTTACTTTACTCGATAACAAAATAATTATTCAATAAGAATATAAAATACACTTTGCTTTTACTTTACTCGTTAATTGGATAATTATTCAATAAGAATAAACTTAATTAAAGAAATAAAATTTTTCCAATAAAAATTAACGGCAAGTTAACAAACGCCGCACAAAAGTCAATTAACAAAGCAGCCAACTATACCAAATTAACTTCAAGTTAACAAACGTCACACAAGAACGCAATTAACAAAGCTACCAACTTAACAGATAATTACTCAGTTAAAGTATAAGTAAAGCGGTATTACCTTTACTTTACTCTCTACCTTATTTACTCGTAGGTTAACTTCACATCAAAACTGCAACTTAACGGGTGATTATTAGGGTAAAGGGTAGGTAAACCGTCATTAGGTTTACTTTATCCTCTAGGTTACCCATTGGTTATCTTCGTGACTTTATATTTTATCCTTTATATTTTATTTTTACGCTTTTACCTTTTATACTTTAGTAAAAGATATTTTACCCTACATGGCCTAACTGTGAGTCAAAATGATCAAAGTTGCTAAATTTCAAGATTGACACAAAGCTAAATTGGTATGAGTAAACATACCGATATGTGATGAATATACAATCTGCGACTTTTGAAAGTTTAGAATGATGAGATGGAGCATATAAGAGAAAATACAACGTGTGTATGAAAAAAAAACATGGCAAAGAAAATTTTATAATAGTAGATTTTTTTTACGATCAAGTGGTATTTTTGCAAGACTTAAGAGGTATTTTTGAAGCTGAAAGTCAAAAGATTTCAACATCAAATAAACAAAAAAATTGCGTCAACGAACTATACAAGAAGGAAAAAAATTTTCAAAAGAAAATCAGATTTATTAAAATTTTTAGTATTTTAGCCGAGGTTGAGAATAAAATTGGCAGACGGTGTTGAAAGATTACAGTATTATCAGAAGATTGAGTATTGATTGCATTTCAATTTTTGATCAATCCATTTCAACTTTTGTACAAAAACTTTGGATGTGAACATTTATTTGTAAAAATCTGATACTATTTGGACTAGATCTTATAAATGATAATCTGAAAGTCATTTTGTGATACAAATGAAATTTTTAATTGAAATCACATGTTGAAATTCTTATTGGATTTTGTATATATAGATTGCATATAGTTTTATGATACAACTTAATAATTAAGACTAACCTGCCATAATTCTAGTAAGTTGAAAGTAATAAAATGAAGAAAAAAAATGAATGAGACAAACATAAAAAAACTAAGGAAAATATATAATTATATACAGCCAAATTATGAAACTTTCATTGTAATTGTTAGCGTAAATCTTTCTCATTATCATCTAGCTCCTATTATAAATTTTATTCATTTCAGTTCAAATCTAAAGTTGAGATTTAAAACAATTGCAATTATCAAAATCTCCAGAAATATTTTGTGAAGTTAAATTCAAATAAGTAAAAAATTTAAGACACACATTCAAGTCCAACTAAATTTTCATTAGTTTTTAATTACTATTAGATTTTATTTCACTTTCTTTGTTGACCAATCTGTGCTTTCATGATCGTTGTGATGATCAAGAAATATGACCGTCAAACTGGTGATCGTCCTAATACACCTACAGCTGTACTGGGATCTGATAGTAAGCACCTCCTACTGCACAAGGGATGTGAAAATCCACGAGCTCTGGACTGTGGGTGGGATGAAAATACACTAATCTAATGGTCGGATGTACAAATTCGGTTGGAACACACCAAGTTACACCATTTAAAGCGCCCTATAATGTAATTTCTCGTGAAAGTCACGACATGTGTGTACAAAACAACATGTTCACAAATCAACGTAGGAACGTGTCCAGAGTTCGCGTACCAAGCTTGACTGCTTAACATGGGTGAAGGGACTGGTGCGCCCAATACTGATTGTCTAGGAATCTTGTGGCCTTTCTTGACGGTATAGGACGTTGGTGAGTTTCAGCCACAAGATAAACACTCTTCATAAACACTCCTCCAGGCATGAACACGTGACGCGACCACGTGGCCACATGTTCCCATTTATCATGAGAATCATATAAATGGGAAGATGTGGCTCCGAGGTCATGGCGCGATTTTAACAAGAGTGTTGAAACCGGTCTCAAGTATGAATTTCATGACAATGAGAAAATTACATGTCTTTACTTGCACAAGGAGGAGCATAACAGATCAAGAACAGAAATTTCCTTCTGGACTGAAAACAACGAGAACGACAAAACATGGTTTAGACCATATTGTCTGACCTCCAGTTGTCTTCACTGTCAGCCAAAACTCTTTCCAGCGTTATAGCGTCCCTACTGTCTGGGGCGGAACCATTTGCCAACGAACTCGAGGGTAGATCGTGATGATGCAGATGATTGGCATCAAAGGCTGCATCTGAGGAGCCATATCGGGAAGGAAAACGAACGCCATCTCCTTTGGGTGAAGCTCTAAATGGGAGCAAAATTCTAAGCCACCAAATCCCGCTACTATTTGTTTCAAAAACATTTCGCAAGTTTTGAATTTTCCCCATATCAAACTCGTTCACCCAAACCTGCAGTCGATCAGAATTATGTCACGAACTACAGTTATTTTCAAAGCAAGTGGCTTCTTATAATGGATACGATAGAATGGTGAACGAACTTAGTAAGTACGGTGAGAAAACTCACTACAGCCGATACAACTACTCTAAAAGGACTACGCCGATCCCTGAATTGGCCTAGTCCTTTCAGGGTTTAGGGTAGGTAACCTCGTCAAGACTCGGAAGGGGAGGACGTGGATAAGTTCCCAGCGCAGTCAAAGAGGCTTCGTGTCGTATCAAGCAATATCACCCGATTTTAAGCAAGCAAAAGGTGTCATCAGTATTGAACTGCAAATCACCGACTTCGAATATATACTTTCTCAATATTACCTGTCCTGATCTCCTTGCGTCTCGCCTTCGTTGGCGGTTACTGTAGAAATCTATCGTTGTCTGCACACGACTGATTGAGTCAGGAAAGAATGGCGGACCAGATGTGAAACTGCATCTGTGACAAGTAACTAAACTGATTTAGCTTCGAGCTCAGCTTTTCTTAAGGTCCAAAAGCAAGAGTGATAATTGAGTCAGGCCTGATCATATCTTACATGAACAGAGTTAACTAACCTGCGCGGTGAGGACCAAGTAAATATGCCATCCGAGGAGGCATGACAAAGAGCCGAAGAGAGCAAGCGACAGCACAAAAGTAAATAGAACACCGTTCGCTTGGGTAGGCTCCTGTGGAAACAGGAACTAAGTAAATTGTTTATTTCAGTACTCACAACACCTCAAACACATGATTTCTGCGAAGATGGTTCTGGGAGTTTAAGAACATTTAAGAAAATATAAGAAAATAAAGGACGCGTTACCAAGCAGGCGTTATTGCGAACACACAAAAGAGCGAGACGCTAGAGAAAGAGAACATTCGTACATGTGCTGATGTCCCAAACAGGGGAATCGATGCCATACAAACAGTATATATACAACCTGCCCACAAATACAGCACTGGTGCAGTGGCGATATGTACGGTTTCGTGAGTAAATGATAAACTTCCACTCTAACTCTCTGATATAACGCGAATTCCAAAAACGATGAAACCAAGCCTAATATCTGCCGAAGATCGAAGACATGTAAGCAAAGAGGTCAGTACCAACATGCTTCGTTGCAACTCCTAATGCGAAGGTTAAGAATACTCACAAAATACCAAAAAGTATCTGTAGTTGTTATAGCCAATGCAGTTGTGCATCCAAGCTTTAGGAAGTCAAGGTGAAAATTAAACAATGAATGGCAGAGCATTCATAAAGGTCTTGAAGATAGAATTCAGGAGGAAATAAACGATTGCGTAAGGTCAATCAACATCATTTCCTTTAAGAGTCTACAGGAAATGGGACGTCCAACCTGTCGAAATACACACGCGGAAACACTTACATTGAAAGCAAACTCACCTTCCACCCACAACCATTCATGATCAGTATGTATGTTCATTATCTTCAATTATTATAGATAGATCACTCACAAGAGTAGATGGGTAGATGTCCACATGTTAAGGATACGACAATGATGATCCATCTTCAATATGCATCTGCCATCAACAAAACAGTAACAAGGACCAGAAGCAGATCAGTGGCATTTCGATATGACAGCCTTTCCGTACTGACAGCTCTTCAAAACGTTTTGAAGAGAGTCTACTTGCCCTTATTGACAATATCAAGACGATAGATACAAAAGAACAATGGATATGGAAGGCGGGACAGTAGTAGATATTATTGCAAAAAACCAACCAAAAAAAGAAAGGAGCTTCTAAGTGGTACCTTTTGCAGATATGACAGTGGTGAGTCATTGGAGGTTTTGATCTCCGGCCTGGACAATGTCATGCAATAGTGCGGATCAAGAAATGCAGAGTGGGTGTAAGGAGTTTTCGGAGGATTACTTCAGAGTTTACGGTGTACAATATCAAACCTAGTGAGTCTAAAGCTTCGGATGACCAAGGACCAGCGGCAAACCCGAAAAAATATGGATTGGGCTGTTCATAGTACTTCAATATGCTTTCTTCATAGGTAGATTATTCATTCAGACAGTCGAGACTATTTTAAGTTAGCAGGTAGCTTGCTTAACAAATGAGCGATTGTATACAAAGTGGTGCACAGTGAATTAATTGGGTCATGCTTTGAATATTTTGACCACTTACAGCGTTTGCACCATCTGATTTGGGGGATGCCAGAAGCTGTCTCGAACTTACTCAAGTCATCTCCTACGTCCTGCACATGAGTCGCAGCCCCACGGCATGGTTAACAGGGGGCTATGAGTGACCAGCCTGAGAAGCTTAGATTCGGATTGTCCTTGCTAGTCTATGATCAGCACTACTCCTTCCACAGCATCACAACGTAAGAGTGAGTGATGAAGAGATATAGGCCCAGTAATCTTACAACAGTCATGGGTGGAGACCCCGGATCAGTCTGTATGCACCAAAAGTAGTTGAAGAAGACATTGTAAATGAGCCAGGCTGAAAGGAACAAGTGTGCTAGTCCTTCAACCGAGTGCAAATCATGGACGGCAGGAAGTACTGTTGTATAGTATAGATATATTATACAGCTGCAAGAAACACAGGAATCAGTTCTTGAAATTCGAGGGTGTCCAAGCACTTTCCTTGCCTATGAATCCGTAATTCGACTCACAGGCAAAAGACTAAGCACTACAATTTGATCTTCCCTGTTTCTTATGTACTCTCAAAGACTGTAAGAGCTACTTGCTTGATGTAAAACTGACCAGGAGCTGAGTGTATGTGCACCTGAGCAGAGAGAGTGCAAGAAGGATGTACAGAGGACCGGCAGTTTTCACAGCAGCGTCTAAAATGGCCTGCACCCGAAGAATGAAAGCCGCCCACCTGCATGACAGAGGAAGGCAGAGTATAATGTCAAGACCTACTGATGCTATGCGCGTCGGGTAGTGATTTTTGAACCATAAAAGTCTGTGATTCACGTCGAAAGGATAAAAGCAATGGTAAAAACATAACACGTATATTTGCCTCGGCAATGACGAATAAATGAATCAAAACTTCATTTCTCGAAATCTTGAGTGTTTTCTGATGAATTGGACGAGTACACGGTGCGAAGTCTGGTTAAGCTTTTCTCCCCGGTAGGTTCGTAAGAAACGACCGAGAGAAAAGCTATCTCAGATAACCATGCCTGTAGCTAACTGACTGCTGGGATCTAAATCTGCGCATCACATCAGGGTTCACCTGAGACAACGAGCCGATCCTAGGGCCTCAAGCTAGGAAGCATGATTGAAAAATTCCTTGATGCAAGTGTAATAGGTTTCAAAGTTTCGAACTTACAAATCTTCCAAACTTGACCAAACCTCGTGAGAGTGAATTACGAGTATGGATTACAAAACGGAAAGTAGGGAGACAAGACCAAAGGGGGGATGCGGAGAAGCTTAATGGTCCTCAGACGTAGATCTCGTACCAGCTACTTTATACTGCCTCTTTCCAACGATTCGAGGGCGGAATAATGGTGATGAGGTACTAAAGAAAGTGTTCAAAAAATGGAGGGAAATTTGTAATACCATAGATTGTGTTGATCCAGGCTTAAGTGAAGTAACGTACATGAAGTGCAAATGCCGGATGAGTGTGCGTACTGACATCCTGGAGGGATGAGTTCGAGAGGGATTTTCAAATGCGTGGAGCTCTCGCAGGGAACGTCAGCAGTTTCCTTCTCATCTCCCTGATAAGTCTGTCGTACAACACGTCTGGCTTCTTCTTGATTCAACACGAGGAGAACAACATCATTCTCATCGTCTTTCCTGCGCTCCCGATCAGACTGCCTGGCCAGAACTGGAAAGAAGAGGAATAGCACGGACCGGACCGGACCGGACCCTACGGGACAAAGCAAGGAGAGAGAAGGAGATTGATGGATCGATCGAAGAATCAATCAATCAGTCAGACGCACGGCTACGGCAGCAAGACATTTCCTGCTCTTCTTCCTCTTCCGTTTCTTCCCTCAACTTCCTTCGGCATTGCAACGATTCCCAATCGAGCACTCACTCCTGTCGTCGGGAACCCACCCGCATCGCATGGCATCGACCACTCCTTCCGGCCTTTCTACCAGTCCGGCGGCCCACAAGATCTATATGATTCTCCTACCCCTTTCTTCGTCACCTTCTCTTGAATCCGCGCTTTTTCATGTGTGATCCATCTGATGATTCCGATCTAACCTCATCCCCCGTCCGCCGTTAAGATCATCGCTAAGCCCCGCCCGTGCTGCAGCTCGCCTGCCAAGCGGAGGAAGAAGGCGGCCCAGGCCCATCCCACATACACCCCTCACCATTCCATGATACATGCGCCCGAGGCGCTAAGTAAGTCACCACGCTTCGGACTCGGGCCAGGACCACCAATCCGTCAGGGCACACTGCCTCACCTGCGCCTGATTACAATCTCCTTTCGCGGCGACTTGCGATGATGCCAGTCCACAGTAAATGACGCATACTCACCCTAGCTCTACCGCTCTTCCGCTTTCGCCCTCCATCTCCATCTCCGACCTCCTCTCGGGGAGGAATACTGGTCTGCGAAATCCGACACGGCCTTTCTTTGTCTTTCCGCATGCGATCGCTCCGCTCACTGCTGCCTCTGACGACGACGACGAGGACTCGGTCGCTGGGTCCCACGCCCGCACTTCGGCCCTCGACTGCTGCAGCTGCTCGTCGACAATGGCTCGAATTCGGCGCAATGTCGTGGGGAGGCCAATTCATTCCTCGCACGGACTACGACGCGAGCCCTGGAGTCTAGTTGTCGCCACTGCGGACTGACGTGGCATGCTGACGTGAGCTTTCCATTTCTTTTCTTCAGGTCAAACCCTACGACCACGAGCACGAGTCCAATGTCTCTCTCTTTTTTCGATTGGCCTCAAGACCATCGACGCCATAGCCTGTACGCATTAAATTATGCGCAATTCGATTGGATTACGCATTTCCGGGACATGTTAATCTACCTTTCGATTGCTGCGACAAAATGCGCTTATATATCCGTCACCTCGTCAGGAGACGTGTGGTTTGATAGCTTTTGCGGAAGGCACTCCACTCTTAGCACTTATATTTTTCCAGGTTACCGGGCATGAGAAGTCATTACCGGTAAGTTTGATTGATTGTTTCATAAAGAATGTTATATATCATCTCTGGTATTTTATTGTGAGATATTCATCACCGTATCTAACGCACTATTAAATTTTACGACCCGTCGAAAACTGGTTTAACTCTCAAAAACAATGTTTGTATTGACAAGTTCTCTAACTAAATGGAATTATCCCTATGGTTTCTTTCAAAGTTTAGGATGATATAAGAGAAAAATCTTCCTGATAACCACGTCACAAGATGAAAAGAATTATGAGTGATGAGAATAATTGCATTTGGGGCAACATCCTCATATATTGTAAAAACACAATGAATACTCCGGTAAATGTTAAATGAGGCATAAAAAATATGAAAAAGAACATCGGAAAAATTTGAGTATTTCATATTGTACTCAAATGAACATTACGTGCTCTTTATGTTTGCTAAAATAACTGCTTGCGAATCTGTTTCAAACAGAGAATCATAATTATTTAATAGTTACTTATATTATTATTATTATATAGCGTAAAACCTTCTTGAGGCCAGGCAATGTCTGCAGAGCTGAAAGTTTTCACTATGGTTCTTCCCTTATTCATAGACAGCCAACTCAGAGCTTGACAACGTGTATCCGTGCACGTTACAATCACACGGTTAAAGCAAAACAGCAAATGCTTGAAAATTTTGAATAACCTATCTCTTGCAAAGTTTTGAAGGTCTAAGTTTAAAAAAATTTGGAATATAAACAATGCAAGCACTATGTTTGACATCTCTCAATTTGCTTTGAGAAATGTTTATATCTTCTAATATATCATACATTCTAATATCAAACAGCTAAGGTATAATTTAAAAGCATATTTTTTTATTTTCAACATGAATGAACAATATTCAATTCATTTTGTTAAATTTCAACATTTTTTTTTAATTCTCGCTTGAAATAAAGATGTAAAAACATAAAATTAGAATTTTCAATCTTACCAAACTAATTTTAAATTTATCTTTAAAAAAAATAGTAAACATTGACATAAATGAACTTATTTGCTTGTAGAAATAACATCTGAATTTACAAAACTCGTTGTAATTGCATAGCAATCTATATGTTTTAGTGATTACATCATAATATTAAATACCAAAATCATTACAAACTGTTAATCAACGCAATTAGTTATAGTTCAGCTAGTTACTTTTGAAGTGATCCATAGTAGTGTACACACACCAGGTATTGTAGACTGTTTCAACCTTTCTTTTGAAATTGTGTGCCATCAGCCCATGCTTTCCCATGATTTTTAAATATCAACATGATTTGAATCGTAGATAGTTGAATTGATTTGCAAATCTAACCACATCATCAGCATCATGAATAAAGTTTAGTCATATTATCTAATATTCAAATAGCCATATTTTGCAACAGTTTAGTTTAAAAGCTGCATCCAATATAGTTTTAATTTTCATCTCATTTTTTTGCTTTAATTATTATATCATTTTTTAATAATAAAACAGTATTTTTTTGTTATTTATATATTATTTCTATTTGATAACCTACAAAATATATTTACATAATTCATGACAGCAAAAAAAAATGTTCCAAAATTCCAACATTTAAATTTCATGCTAGATTGCGAAAATGTTATAAAAATCAAAATCAAAATTTATGGGGAAGTCATCAAAATATCGAATGATAAGTCCAACATCTTGTATAAAGTGAAAAGAAAAAGATAATTGTTAAGAGTCTTGACTTCTTTCTTACTAAATATAGTCGCATAATCAATAAAATTTTTATGACATATATTCTTCGCATCATGAATCATGAATATAAAATATAAACAAGGTTTCTTATATATGTTTATGTCTAACGTGCAATGCTTACAACATTAATCAGATTAAGTATTAAATGCTACACTCTACTTTTTTACAAGATATAAATTTCACATCAATACTGAAATAAATTATCCAAAAAGAAATATTCTAAAAATGCAATGATCACATCAGCAGTAAAAAACGATCTTTGTATATGCAATGTATTCAACACCACAACGTTATTAAAACTTAATTGAATTTGTAAAAGATATAGAAATGTTATGATGATTAGTGTTATATGTATAGATGATTGTAGCCAATTGCATTTGATTCATGAGCAATTAAATGAAAAACGTAACCAAAAAATTTAATTTTACATTAATAGTATAGCATACGTATTATCATCATGTTGAAAAAATATTGCTTTTGATCAATTTTTTTGAGAAAAAAAACACAACACAGAGGATAAAATTATCATATCAAGCTATAAAATGAAGAAACTATTTTAAATAAACTTGTCCAAACAGTATCATAACAGAAATTATGTACTACAATACAAAAGAAATCACTATGTTTCAACAAATCTTCTAAAAAAACAAATTCTTCTTGTTAAATGCCATCAACAAGACATAGACACTTAGTGAAATCCTTGTGATGCATTAACAAGGTTTAGTGATTTTTTTTTTATAAGCAAACCATACTGGAGAAAGCTTCATTTTTGAAATCATGGCAAAATATGCATATTTAGTAATGCATCTAACCTCTACATTAATTTCATATGACCTAGCTGTACTTTCAAGAAAATTTGTACTCATCAATTGAAAATGCCAATAAACTCTTGTTCGAGGTTTCTATATACCTTCACAAGTTGAGCTAAGTTTCAATAACATTTTCGGCATATCATTGAGTAAAGTGAGTTTGCTTGTTAATGCCTTTACTTTATATTGATTCACTTTTAATCAGCTGAGTCTGACCATTAAATATGGAAATTAATTTGCATCCATAAATATCATGTTTTCAATAGCTATCTTTGGTAAGGATGCAGGGTATAATAGGCTAAAGAAGCATAAATTGCTTCTTAGAAGATTGGGACAAATCGTCAACAACTTGACAGAATTGATATGAATCACATTTTTCAACAGAAATATGATTGAACAGCACGATTTATTATATATATTCTGGTCTGGAGAAATCTAGCATGGTGGCTGGAGAGGAATTACAAACCCATCAAAAGGATATGAACTGACCATCATGCTGCAGCATAACTGAAGTTCGTGGGTTGAGGCACAGTAGCACCGATCGATGCAGATGCAGAGATCTGATATCGCTTCGATGAAGTATAATATTCATGTATCGTGCGTCTAGCTTTCTTGCCATGCCAGACGCACGACGCATGTTTTGTTATGTTCATTAACGTGCTTGTCTTCCAAGAAGTAACACACTTCGTTGCTTCTACGTGAGGTCAGACAAATTCCTCACGGTTGGAAGTCACGAAGTCTCTAGCCGATTCATCCAAATTAGTCTAAATTAGTGCATAGTTAATTAAGCATGTAAGCTATACATTAATACACACCTACATTAATTCAGCTTCATAATACAAATTTAATCTAAATTAGTCCAAACAGTATCATAAAAAAATTATGTACAACAATACAAACGATGTTCACTAGGTTTCAACAAATTTTCTAAAACCAACAATTTCTTGCTCAATGCCATCAACAGGACATAAAACCCTTAGTGAAATTCTTGTGATGCATTAACATGGTTTACTGAATTTTTTATGATAAAGAAACAGTTCCGGAGAACAATTCATTATGACATCATGGCAAAATCTGCGTAGTTAATAATGCATCTAAGCTCTACATTAATACACACCTACACCTAAACTTTGCTGGGCACAACCTGATTTTTGTTTGTATTTTCGCCTACTGTTATGCTACCACAGCAGACCAGCATCGGAGCCAGTTGACCATATTGCCCTGGATCTGTTCTTACACGTGCGTATGGAATCGGAGGAATCGACAGACCCAGCAAAGCTACAAAGCTGGTGACGAGCATGGCCTTGTTTGGTGACGAGCACACCTGCTTCCACCAAAGTTCAGGGCTCTAGCACCAGCTTCGTGGTTTCAGTGTCTACCTTCAGTGTCTCTCAGAGCCCAAGATTTTGGCTCCACTTCGAGAGAATTGGATTCAAGTTTTAGCTGCTAGTTCTCACAAGTTGGAGTAGTGAGCGGTTGCTAGAAGGACAGTCTTTGTTTCAAACTTCGTTCGAGTTCCTTGCTTATCGCAAACATTGAGTATCTCATAGTTCTGTGTGCGGCATTTTCCATCCCTTCCTTGTGGGATCTACAGATAATTCAGCTTTCTTCGACGAAATAAACCATACATAACGATTGTTGACGGAAAGCTTTGGATTTCGGACTGAAGCTTTCTCAAAATGTGTGATTTAAGATTGAATGTTGGGAGAGAAAATTCCGTTATTGCCTACACGATTTAGGAAAAGAATCTGAATGACATGACATGGTGAACTAAGATGGAGACAATTTAAAAACGCACCTCCTGCTGCAAGTCGATGGTCCAAAGAAGATCGCAGAATGAAAGGAGAATTTGATCTGCTTGTATTTGGATACAGCAAATCAAGGAATTTCAGTTGATAGGAAGAAAAGCTGGTTAGGCAGGAGCAGTTGAATGCTATAGTCAAAATCACAAAGATGGTCAAATTAGATTCGTTGAAACGACATGACTATCACTGAGGTCTCTTCGTGCCGCAGCATTCCAAGGACCGCGACCCCGGATGACTCAAAGGAAGGCGAGCCAACTTTCCGTGTTGCAAGTTTAGCACACTGG